CCTTACAGTGTTTCAATAACTCATCATCCGTTAAGGGTTTGCTGCCGATATTGTAAAGAAATCCAAATAACTCGTTATATTCCGATAATTGCGTAAATCTTTCATTTATTGCTTGAATTGCGATGTCCAATATTCGATTGAAAAAAGATACTCTGAAGTTTTGTTCTGGTGATACTATCGGTTCATCACGACCTTCGTATAGGAATTGTCTACTCTTTCTGCGTACGCGTACGGGATCATCCACATCAAATCCTTCAAAAATTTCTAGTTCAACTGCCAATTTTTTTGCATTTTCAACCATTGCGGCAAATTCTTCATCACAGCGATAATCGCATAGGAAAGATTTGGTAGCGTTTAAATGCTCTAGAGCAAGCGACAAGTCTAAAGCCTGTGATTGGAGCATTTTGCTGACAATATTAATTTGGAATAAAATGTCATACCACAATACCAAGGAGCAAACAAATTTGAAATTTGAAATATTTCTGGCTATTCCCTTAGCCTCTGCGCGACTCTTGACTTGTGGTGTAGTAGTTAACGTATTGTCTTCTGCGATTTTAATTAGTGCATCGTAAACTCCACTAATCTGAAATCGAAGTGCCCGTACGGCACCGACCCTGCTTTCCCAACGAGTGGCACTTAACGGTTTTATAGTCAGATCGCTTAGGTGGTTTAATAATATACTCCAACGGTGAGTTGATGTTGAGAAAAAGTTATAAATGCCTTGAATTAAATCAAAGAATGCGACAGCCTCCATACAACAATTAGCTGCATCGTTCAATACCAAGTTGAGCGAGTGGGCACTACAAGGAACGAAAAAAGCTCGAGGATTTAGTTGACGAATTCTGGCTTGCACAACATTATATTTTCCGCGCATGTTGGCTCCATTATCGTACCCTTGTCCCCTCATGTCATCAAGATTTACGCCTAATTCCTGCAACTTATCGATAACAACTTTTGTCATATTTGCTCCCGTTGTGTCTTGTAATTCAAGAAAAGTTACGAAGTGTTCAGAAACTACGACTTCAGCTGGTTTTTCCGAAGATGATTCAGTTGCACTGACAAACCTAAAAACAACTGTCATCTGCTCCGTGTGGCTTATATCGGGGGTACAGTCTAAAATAAGTGAGTAGTACTTTGCTCGCTCTAGTTTTGCTAAGATGTCATTTTTGATTTTATTAGCAAGCAATTCAACGATTTCATTTTGAATAGTTTTTCCGAGATAGGTGGTGTGAATTTCACTTGTTGTTATTCGTTGAATATGTTTACTCATAATAGGATCATAATTTCCTATGAATTCAATAAATTTAAGAAAATTTCCGTTATTCGGTTCGAAAAGCTTTTCACATGTTCCTCTTAATGCTAGATTTTGTCCAGCAAGAGTTCTAATTAACGTTATTATTCTTGCAAGAACTTGTCGCCAATGTTGAGTTTCAGATTGAATTATTTTCTGATTAATGTGATCAATCGTAGCCCCTGATTTAAGTCTCACCTCCAGATCTCTCCAATTTAGATATGCAGTCGTGTGGCCACTTGATGTTTCATGTCGTTTAATAATAACAGAAATATTTTTCCAATCTCGGCAGCCGTCATGCGATGACAGGGAAAATTTATTCGGACTAAATATCTTACAGCAAAAGCAAAATACAGTGTCTTTCGTAATGGAGTACACCAACCAAGTGCGTTTAATTTTATCGCCATTAGACATTCGGCGATAAAAATGAAATCTTGAAAATTTTCTACCTTGTTCATCTTTGGGAAATAAAGACGGCAATTTTTGAATTGGACCATACTTCATCAGCAATGCTTTAAATTTACCATCTATTATAGGGCATTTTGCCGGATCATTAAAATTAAGAGGCAAATCTTTATTGGTTTTGGGGTCTTCACCACTTTGATCTTCATTGTTTTCATTTTGTCCTATATCATCGACGTTCTGTACAACAACTTCACTTAAATTGGAGATAAATTCCACTTCATCAACATTTTCTGGTTCTTTAGCAGTATCATCATTTCCAGAATTTCTATATTCATTAACACTAACACCATCCGCATATTCTATTTCTCCACCGCTTTCGATTTCAATTTCAACTTCATTTTGGTTTGAAGTTGAAGCTACTATAGATGCCAGTGCTTTTTCGCTTGATGACCTGCTCAAAAAGTGCAACAAAGCATTCTTCTGCTTGGCAGAATTTGCTTCACGTTGAAGCCTAATTTTCTTGTATTGTGACCCTGACAAGCGCTGTCTCTTACCACGGTCCATTATATTGTATCGTTTAAAGAATTTAAACTTAAAAAAAATATAGCATTGATACATATACCTAAATTTTTATATTTAATGATAATAATAATAATAATAAGTTTATTCAAATACATGAAAAAGAAAACGAAAAAACTAACTTTAACTACTTACTTATAAAAATTATTGTTAGACAAATATTAATCAATTTATAAAAGGGTATAATAATTTTTTTTTTTTTTCAAAGTTAAAGTTCGTTTAATAATACACTTTTATAACAATTTACAATAGATATCTCAAAGATAACTTCAATAAAATTTTTAAGAAAGTTTCTTAGGAATATTCGGAACTTTAATTTGCTTAGTCAGCGTATTTTATGAACCAATAGAATTCGTTTGTTTGTATATTTGGCGGTTTGCTAACATCCATCCCTGAAAAAGAAAAAAGAAACTTTTTTTTACTGTTTCTTCTTCGCCAAATCCCAAATGTAAAACATGTATACAAACAAACACTTTTATTACTATATTATTTATTTGAAAAAATTAGTATGTATTAAAGTTCCCGTAAAAAAAAAATAATAATTTCTTGTTACAAAAAAAAAAATTTTAATTTTTTTTTTTTTTGGGGAAAACACAAAATAAATTAAGAAAAGTGCCGCTCTAGAAAAGTGCCGCCTACGCTTAAAACCGGGCCTGATACCCACAACCACATATACATACATACAAATATATATACATATACACGTATATACATATACACACACATACATACCTCATATATACATATACATTGTCTGACGTCAAAAGAGCAATAAAACCAAATTATCAAGTTATTTCCTTTTATTTATTTCTTGAAAATCGAACGAGGTTTTTTCTTTGCACAAGTAAATCTGCTTAATAAAATCCAAAAAAATTCACGAACATAGTAACAAAACTTATAAATCAAGGATTGATCTTTGTTAAACCTTTTATATAAATTTAATAATTTAAATTTAATTCAAATTTAAATTATGATCTAAATTTGAATTAAAAATTTATTAATTATTAAAATTTGAAAAAACTTCCGTTATAATAGGACATCGGACGTCAAAAGAAGGTCTCTGTAAGGTCAGATACTGACGTCTCAATAAGGTCAGATATTTGACAGTCACATTTAAGTTGCATTTTAATCATATGACTGAACGACCATTATAGGACGTCAAGCGTACGTCCTCCTGACGTCTTGTGTTTGCTGGGCACAAGTTTTGTGTTTTGTTGTTATTATGGCTCTGTGCACTTTTAAGGCATTTACCCAGTAAGCACAAGACGCATTTTCGACACTTATAGACGTCTAAAACTAGTCAAGGTAAAGACGAATTTTATAGACGTTTTGAAGACATCTTTTAGACGTCTTTTATAAATGCGTTTTTAAAATTACGTTTAAAATGCGTCTTTTTAAAGTTTAAAAAGACGTTTAAAAGACGCATAATAAATAGTCTAAAGGACGCATTAAAAGACGTCTAGATCATAAGGCTAAAAGACGTCTTTTCTGAGACCTGTTTATAAATATGTCATTATGACTTCTTTTTGACGGCTTTGTCATTATGCGTTAAGTAGATGTCGTTTATTCAAAGTAAAAACATTGTTTTTATTATTTTCAATAATTTGTTCAAGTTTTAAGTGTAAATTACTTTAAATTAAATTACTTTTTTACACAATTGCTAAAATTGTTGTCACAGGAATCACTAAAACAATTGCTATAATATTAATATATCTTTTTTTTATTAATAATTATTTTGCTTTTTTAATAGATAGTTGACTGATCATAATAATAAGTGAAAATGGCAAGAATAATAAATAAGTTAAATATCAGTATTTTTAGTTTTTATACACCCACAAGCCATATAATAAGTCAAGTATCCGGTCAAAAATTAGCTTACTCCATGTTGGTTAAATTTTTTAAAACTAAAGGTAAGTTGTTTTAAATGTTTTAAATACTGTTTTGAAATATATTTGCTATTGTTATTTATTATTTTCATTTATTAACTATATATTTTTTCAGTTATCAACTGTTGGTGGTGAGTACAGCAATATTATTTAGATTGCTGGTTCCTATGTATATCTTGTATATACGAAATTATAACAATATACATCGTTATAAATATAATGAATATATATCACACTCTACGCGAAAATGTTACGTCATGTACTTAAATTTATCTTAAAAAAAACGTCTAAAATACGTCTAAAACGCGTTTTTATAAAGACGTCTTCATTTAGACGTCTTTTAGCCTTATGATCTAGACGTCTACAAGTGCGCCTTTTAGACCTCCTTAAAGACATCTTTAAAACGTCTTTTAAACGTCTTTGTGCTTACTGGGTGAAAAGAAAGAAAAAATGTGTTAGTTTTACATTTGTACATAAAACAATGTATATTAAAATATTCAACTGATAAATATTATAAATTTTTATTTGAAATAATAATGGTTTGGCATGAGCAAAATTAGTTATAAAAGTTCCGCACTACGTTTGACGGGTATACTCGTCATCAATAGTCAATAAAAACAATATTAAAAATATTTTTTTATAATCTAAATTTAAAAAAATATATTTGGCTCGTGAGTTTATAGAGCCAATTATCCGCCGTAATTTAGCTACAACCGCTGAATTTCGCTCCGTACGCAACGTATAATAGAGATGATTGGAAATGCGTTGAATGCTCAGTCAATTCAAAAAAACGTGAAAAGAATTAGCAGATTAAGCTATTAAAATATATTCAAAACAACCCATTAAAAGTATAAAGCGCAGATTTGTGAACAAAATTCTTTTGAAATTTTTTTTCAATTTAAAAATTGTCAACTGAACAAAAATATTTTTATATGGAGGATTGAAGATGTTTCAAAAAACACGCATAAAGTTTTTAAGCGTATTGCTTGTTTTACTTTTTTTATGCAGTAAGTTTGTTTTTAAATAAACTAAGTTTTTTTTGTTGTCATTTTATGTTTATTAAAAAGTTTAACTTCATTTTAATAAAAGTCTTACTTTATAGAAGTCTTAAACATGTGTGCACTTTGAATTAGAAAGGTAAATAACCGTCAAAAAATGTATAACCCTCAGTTATAAACAAATGAAAAGTTAGTCTTTGGTTTTTTTGTTCAGCAAATTAAAGTTTAAATATAAATAAAATATAAATTAAGCACGCGTGTATGCGTATGATTCGTACTTAATGTACTTCAGGGTAAGTACGCTGTTTTGATACAAGTACGATTAAATTAAGATTAAAGTACTATACAAATTATACAAGTACGAAAATAAAGTACGATAGCAAGAATGTTTTATTGAGTTATGATAAACATCTAATGAGACCGCTAAAAAATTAGCTGGTGCTAGATTGAAGGGAAGCTAATTAATTGATTGAGGTATTCCCAAGAGATCTAGAAGTCTGTGCGGAGAAATTGAAGCAGATGAGACGAATGAGTTACAGAACAAGAATCATTGATCTTTGTAAAACATATCTCCGACTGAAAGTGGATGAGAAATTGTGGCCCTATCAAACAATGATGTTCCAGAATAAAGGGTATTGTCTGTAGCGGCTTAGACTCGAACTAAGTGTGGCACCGATGATTATAAAGTCATAGTGAACGCCATTGTTGAACAAGATAAAAAGATAAGGAAAAGGATATCATTATAGTGGATGATAATTTTGTTAATAAGAATTTGTTAGGAAAGCTTTTTTTAAATTACGGCTTTAAAAGTAAAGATGGTGTTGGTTGAACGCGAGTGTTTGGCTTAACGATTAAAAAGGTCAAAGGAAAATTGATATGATCGATAAGAAATTAAACGGACGAAATCTAGCGGAAATTATCAAAAAGAACGGTGTTTTGTATTTGTTGAAAATTTGTGAGCCATTTGCCAGTGTGCATTTGATTGCGTGTTGATTGTAGTCTCGGTGTGCAAAATGTAAGTTCTTTAAAGATAGGGTGGGATGATAATATCTATAATAAAGGAGTGCAACTTGTGGTGGGGAAAGTACTAAAAACGAATCTGCTTGTGGAGAATAAAATTAGGAGGTAACAAAGTTAAATGGTGAGTCCAAATTGGTGTAGCCAACTTTGAAGACGCAACAGGAATGCATTAGAACCAATTTGATATTTACATAAGTATGGCATAATTATGTTTCATATAAATATGGTACAACTAAAACTGTAATACACAGTCTCTGTAACGGTTCTAAGACAAAAGAAGTCAAAACTGTCAAGTGATCTTTATTATTAATAAGGTAAACATGTTTACCACGTTAAACATGTTTAGTTTTAATACGAGTAAAAATGTTTTGGGAGTTGATTGACAATTATAACTTGAAGGTTGACGTAAAGCTGATATTGTCAAAAGATAATCTGGTTAATACGTTTACGTGAGTGTCTAGTTGGTGGGTAAAAATATTGAAATTTGAAAGCTCCACAAATAGCGAGATATATATACATATATATATATATATATATATATATATATATATATATATATATATATATATATATATATATATATATACATATATATATATATATATATATATATATATATATATATATATATATATATATAGGCGCGTACCGGGTCCATCCCGGTGGAAAATGAGCTAGCGATTAGCGAGCGACTAGCTAGATTTATAGCGATTTTCAAACGATCTTTTTTCTAATTTGATTTTATCTTAATGTCTTTAACATCTTTAAATGTTCGATTATTAGTGCTGAGTCTTTTATAATTATGAGAATAATTGAACTTTAAACATTGCGATATTGTAGCAGTGTGTCGCTAGCTACATATCGTAGCTTTATAGCTAGCTACAAAATATCTACAAATCTATAGCCGGTAGGTAGCTACATATAAAATTTTTTTTGACAGCAATATTTTTACGGTATGACTTAAGCTACAATAGCCAGTAGGTTTTTAGCTTATTAAGCTACCTGTCCTCGTAGCTAAATTTCTGTCTTTATCTTTACAAATATCGATAGCTTTTCGCTAACTTAAAAAAGCGAGCGATCCTTGTGGCCATATCGCTGTCTTTATCATTACGACTATAGCTAGCTATTCGCTAGCCGATTTCCCACCGGGATTTTTGCCTACCGGGAAACTATATATAATTAGGGCCCACTCACTATATACTATATACTTACTAATAGTAATGGATTCCATGTATACCTATAATAATAGAAAGGTTATCTACCAATTTCTTACACTAAGAAAAAACTATACAACTAACATGAACATAAATAATAAACCAAATCTACATTTTAATTTAAAGTCTTTAAAAATAAATACCCAACAATATTAAGATAATTACATTTATTTTAGTAATCTTGTTTGCGTAGTGTAATTTATAAAATATGAATAGCATGTTATTAAAAATAGTTCAATACAGAGGAAATGTACAAATAATTGAAATAGTTCAGAAAATTGTTTAAAAATTAAACTTTCAACATTCTTAACATTTCAGTACTTTTTTCACACATTAAGTGGATGACTTGGTCCGGTGTAACGTCTACCAACAATTCCCTTTCACAATTCATCAAAAACAGTGATTCTGTTTAACTGTGTGTAAACAACTTCTTAAACGTGTTTTTATAATTTTAAGTTTCAAAAATGTTCACACGTTACTTGAGAGGAATCGGTAAAAGAAACTTGTATACTTCAAATAGTTTATTTTACTTCAAATAATACATATTGAATTCATAAATAACTTTTGTTACGCATAATAAACATGAGTTGCAAACTTTTTAATAATTTTTTTTTCTTGTACTCTTACTATTATCATTTTCCTTCAAAATCGTCAGTCTTAATCTTCTTGCAAGTTGCTTTGGTTTCGGTATACATTATAGGCATCTTTAATATCAGTTTTGAATATTTGAGAATTTCACAAACGATAATAATTGTTCTCCTAATTTATGTTAATCGATATCAGGTGAAAACCCACATATTTTAAGAATAGCTTAGAATGTATTCCATTTTTCGAAATTTCTTTAAACCTTTTTGAGTCAAATAGTTCAAGATCACAACAAAGTTCTTTACTGCCCGAAAATTAAATTCTAAGCAAGCAATAAAGTTATCCATAACTACATTAAATGTTTTGTGTTTATAAACATTTTCGGGAGTATCTCCATCTCTTATGATTTGATTAGTACTTAAATTTTCTCCATAACGTTTTGAAATAGTTTTTTTTTTTCTCTTTTCAGGAAGCTCTTATTCTATATCAATGTCTGACTCATCTTCCCAAATGTTTGACTCATCTTCCCAAATGTTTGACTCATCTTCCCAAATGTTTGACTCATCTTCCCAAATGTTTGACTCATCTTCCCAAATGTTTGACTCATCTTCCCAAATGTTTGACTCATCTTCCCAAATGTTTGACTCATCTTCCCAAATGTTTGACTCATCTTCCCAAATGTTTGACTCATCTTCCCAAATGTCTGACTCATCTTCCCAAATGTTTGACTCATCTTCCCAAATGTTTGACTCATCTTCCCAAATTACACTGGATACAAATTCAATGAATATTTTTGCTCCTGCACTAACTGGTACAAAAATTCTCTTAGGTTTCTTTTTAAAGACTTTATTGTTCCACTAATTTGTTTCTAGGCTTGAATATAATCTAGACAGGATGTTTGTAGGTAATCAGATAGTAAACTTAAATATTTAGAAGTAGAAAATTTAAATATTTGCAAAAACATCATCGCTGTTTATACTGTTTCATAACGGATAAGTTGACCTAGTAAATTAATAAACCGACCAAATATCCTTATAACCGCATCATTTTTAGACCGCCATCGAGATTTACCAATATTTATCAAAGTGACGAACGACTGGGATTATTCTGATTTTCATAAGCATATGAGATTCTTTGAAAAAAAAAAAAATTCCTGAAGAAGTTTAAAAAAAGAAATAACTGTAACTGAACAAGAAGCAGTTTGTTGTAAGACTAGATTTAACACATAAGCGTAACACTGTGTATGAATATGCTTTGAGAGCACTTCCTTGAGTTTTGCTTGAACTCCTTTATATTGACCATTCATTTTGGCAGCACCATTAAAAACATCTCCTACAAAATTGTCTAAGCTAATGTTCATAGAATTAAAAATTAATTTTAATAAATCAAATAAATCCTGCCCTGAAGATTAAATCACGTTGTTTAAAGCTACAACTCGTTCCACAATATCAACTATAGACCTGGTGCCTTCAGTTTTGACACTAACATACCGCAAAACCAATACACATTGATCATTGGTAGATACATCCATAGTTGTATCCATAGTAATTGAGCAAATACCAGCTGAATTTATTTCTTCAGATATTTTTAATAATAATAATTTACAAATAGTTTGAATAATGTTTGTCACAGTTGTAGGACTTGAAAAAGTAAACAAGTTTCCTTTACCCTTTTTCCCACTTTTTACTCGTTTTTGCTTTCTACTATTGCCTTAGTAATGTGATCATTTAAATCAATATTAGACTTTGTTATTAAAAAAACAATTTCTAAAAGGTGTCCATGGTTAACAGCTGTATTACTTAAATTATAAGCTGCTTCATACCTAAATCCTCTGAACGGTAATACTTGTTTTCCGATTACTTTAACTATTTTAATTATAGATTCAACTACTTTTCGTCTCTTGATTACTTCATATTCTCTTTGACTCCTCTGGACTCTGTTAAATAATCCGTCAATACTGTGTCCCCGACTATCACTCATATAACATTTTGATGCTTCATTGTGGTTTTTTTTTACTCTTCGTGATCTTTTATGCGTTCATACACATGGACACAGTCTTCAAAACCCTCATCACTTGTAAAAACCGACTTCTTAGAAAAATAAACCAAACACATAGAGCAAAAGAATTGTGTGTGTAACTAAAACTTAACCAATTTCTTTAAATTTTTTTCTGCGATCCTGGACTTGCTA